AAGCAGGCCTTAAATACAACCTCCTCCTCACTGATCCCTGCTAAGCTACACTGCCATGCATGCACTGCCGCTAGCAAACGCCTCCTCCACCCCAGCCTCCACCTTTTGAGCACCGAGTCCAAACATGGTCTCAGTAAATATACGGCATTCATCTCAGTCTCCACCTTACGCCCACCGGGTTCTGCACATGTTCCATGTTTTATTTTAGCATGCAGCTCGGCCAATCCAGGGAACATCCAAGAAACAGAGAGCATTCGCATTTCCAGTGCTGGCCCCAGACATAGCATGACACGCTAAGTGATGATTTTGGAGGTGAAGGGGCTGCGAGAGCACCTTCACCTGCACCACAGAGGATCAGTCAGCACAGGTGAGAGCTGTTAGCTGATTGATCCTCATGCTTGAAAAGGCAGCAGCAGAGCTGCCTTGTGGAACACACACTGGGGATGAGACTGGGCAAAGCTAAAGGTCCAGCAGAAAGTGCTGGACCCTTTAAGTTAAGTGTTTTGTCAGTTCTGTTTGTATTAAATAAAAAGATGTTCCTGAACACCCAATGGTTGGACTGGTTCGTCTCTGGCTGTCGTGGTGGGAACCCCGTGGCATGGTCTACTGCCACAATGATATCGGACAGAGTCAATTGCAACTTGGGAAGGAGGGGGGGCCAGTGGCCAGAAAAACTCAAAGATGGAGCGCATCAGAAGAAAGTGGCATCACTCCAGTGATCGTGAAGATGGGATCGGCACCTATATTGAGCACAAGATGCTGTGTCCAATAGATGGGAAATGAAGGAGCGTCATGAGGGATGATGCGTATCGCATCATTATTTGCATTATCGACAGGGGAGTAATTAGAGAGAGAGACTCTGGTGGAATGAGACTATTCATGTTGCGAAGGGACCAGAATGGGGAGCAGAGAGGTCAGAAATTCATTACTTTTCTCCCGAATATGTGGGATCCGGGAAGGGAACGAGCTCCTGGACAGACTGACCAGGATGAGCATTTTGTGGCTGTTAAGAAACTGGCAGTTGGAATGTACATGCTTTCAGAATGAAATGATTTCAAATTGGAAACTTGTTGAATTAGGCCTTGGCGTTCATCGCAAGTAATTCGGGCCAATTCAGGTGTGTATTGAATTGCACTTTATAGGGTGCTGCATAGAAACAATTTTTTCATAATCTTAGAAATAAAATTTGGCTGAAAATGATCAGGGGGTAGGATTTATTTATGTTTCAGGACCGGCTGGATACAGGCACATTTATAATAGTCAAGGACATAGGCAGTTGACGTGGAGCAGTTTATGATGGGGTCCTATAAGATCCATTTCTTAGGATAGTTGGAATAATTTAAAGATGGCTGGAGAATAGAACAGTGAATCCTGGTAGATTTTTGGTAATGCCAGACCTTATTATTTCAATCCTTTGACAAAGGGCAGTAAAAATTATTCACAGTCTGCATCTCAGTCAGCACTGGCATAGGAATCTGGAATTGTGTGACTTCAGATGATAGATGATTAAAAACTTCCTAGACACAAAGGGGACCTGAACACCTGATTTTTTTCCATGTTTGCTCTGCTTTTCTGCATCTCCTGTTACATATTTGAATACTGTCATTTAACCAAGGCTGTTTAATTGTATTAGTGTTATATCTATTTTTAGAGGAGCAATGAGGTCTAACATTGAGGAGTCATTGGTGTGGTAGAAATCAGGGAGCACATTGACAGAAGAATTGAATTCTGCACTGCTTTTAGGGACACTTTGCTGGTTGAAGATGCAAGTTAGTTTAGAGTGGGATGAAAATTATAACATTTTCTCAGCAGGTAGATGCCTGTCTAGCTCATAAAATAGAGCACCAATTCCAACAACGTTAATTGTCGGCATGTTAACAATAAATTAAATAATTTACCCATACACAGAAAATAACTACATGATTATCATATAAATATGGTTACAACATGAAGTTTCATAGTAATCCCTGCAACATGTGTTTTAATATATTTGACTTTAGACCAGTACTTTACCAACAGATAAACAAACCAATTTCATGTTAATGTAGCTAAAGTGTCACAGTTGAGAAAAAATGATAGACATATAAAGAGAGAGCTTCATAGTGGACCTCAGAAACCTGGAACTTAAGTGACTCTATCACTAATATTTTGTGTCTCTATTTAACAGTATGAGTTCTGCCTGGAGAACTGGGTGCTAACAGGGCTGCAGAGTGGTGTCCCCAGTCAGCATCAGCCTCAGCTCTCTTCCTCCTCATCAGGACTGCTGCCATCCTGTCCACCATACTGGATGATGTTTAGCAGCACTCAGCAGAGCTGCATGGCAAACCGACACAGCTCTGACTTCTGGGAGCCCAACCCTCGACAGCGCTCCCACAGCCTCAATGCCGATATAATGCGCACCAGGTTTAACATCTCAGATTCGGAAAATGAAGGGGATAGCATGGCACAGAATGCAAAAACATGTGTGACAATGAAAGTCCACTCAAATGGAGCTGCTTCACACCAGCGTGGTCAGCAGAAAGCATTTATTGCAGACCTGCTGAACCCTCCATCCTGTTTGAGCAGCCTGCCACACCAGCGCAGGAAGAATCTACGACAGTGCTCCCTCTCTGTGTTGGAGATGTCCTCAGAACTTGATCCAAATGAAGACAACCACGAGCAGAGTCTGTCCTCACACAGAATCCTTAACACCAAGACTCCCAACACCAGAGTTTTCAATTCTGCAATTCCCATCAGAGTTCCCTACAACAGAGCCAATACAGTCCAAAGGCTGCCCAGCATCACTAACTACAGTACAATGGTAAGATATTAATATTTTTATATCTGTAGGCAGTTGTGTATGGGCAATGTTTTGGTCATAATTAAAAATTATTTTCAAATTAAAAAGACTATATTTTATTACCCTAGAAGGATTAATCAGGCCACAATAAAAGTTAAAGGAAAAAGGAAATAGAAGAGCCAATTCCAAATGTAAAATTTTAATGTGAAAATGTATAGTGACAATGAAATGTCAAAGGTGAAATTTTAGATGGAAATGCTCAAACTGATGTTGTACAGATTAGAATAGAAAATCATTATATCAAACATGACACTCAAAAAGGCAAGGATAATGGGAAATACTTTAAGTTAAAAAATAAACAGTTAAATCGAAAAAATTCCATGCTAATTGCTTGTGTAATTCACTATTTGGAATTTAACATTTGTAATGATTTATGTTATCTACTTTCCATTTGACATGCTCTCTCTTTTGAAATTTCTAACTATATCACCCACAACACAGAATAATAATTTGATGAAAGGTTTGGTAATCAACAAATTGAATTTTAATTTGTCAATCACATTTTGTCACCATGCTTTGACAATGCTGTTTCATCCACGTGGCCAGTGCTAAAGATTATAGAGTGGCTTAGGCAGTTAATGCTCTGCACACTGCATTAAAGATCAGTCTGACTATGAATGTAGCCTAAAGCTCAGGGTGTTAATTTGTCCTGGAGCATGGTTTAAATATACTTACTTAAACCAGGAACACATTGACATGAACACAACCAATACAATTATACTTGTATAACCCATATTCACACATTACAATTTGTCTCATAGGGCTAAACAAGGTGCAAGATCAACTGTCCCTAACCCTCAGTAAGGAAAAACTACCAAAGAAACCTCAGAGGGAGGAGTGGAATAGGAAATTCATCCTCATCTTATAAGTTTCTTCAGCACACATTCCGAGAATGTTTTCAAGGTTCTTAACCCTGAAAATAGACTCTAAAGTCTGCCCCCTGAATCCTTTTAAGTTATAAGAGGTTCATCAGGATTAACAGGATCAGGATCCTGGCAAAGCTGCATCCAATGGTTACTCAACTCCAGCCTGCTGTAAAATGGGGCTGACTTAGCAATTAAATTCATGTAGCGTATATAAACATTATCTTGAGGCACTTAAAACAAGATATTAAAAATTGTAGAGAAACCCAACAGTTCCCCGCTTCGGTGTGTGTGGAGAGAAATAATAGTTTCTTATTAACTGCCAGAGAAGGGAGGGGAAGTTGGAAAGAAAGGGCCTCCTCCACTGACCAGGGGTCTCATTTATAATCGTTGCATATGCACAAAACAGGGCCTGAACGTTGGGATTTATAAAAACAAACTTGACAGAAAAATGTACGCATTTCCACGCAAAGTTTCACCCATGCATACAAATATTTTGGAGACAGGAAAGTGGCGATGCAGATGTGAGGAGGTGAACTGAACCAGATTATTGATCCACTTCATCATTTACATTTAAACCAACTGTTGCATATGAAGCTTTAACTGCAAAAGATATAAAACCACTTACAGCAAATTATGTTCAGATACCATTAAACAGCAGAGTTGCAGAGCCAAGACATTTTAATAATATCTTCTAACACTGTGTTTGTATCATCAAGGACGAGTGTGTGTAAAATCCCTGCAGTGAACGTGACTCTGCCATCAGGCGCACAGAACGCACTGGAGATCACTCACAAAAATAAAGAAAAACTATTTACTTTCAAACTTCTATTTTCAAATAATATCCCAGAGTGGAGGTTAGGATCCACTGATATATGAAGTAATCAGTCAGATTGCTCTAAATATATATATACTGTGCTGACACTCGTGCATACTGCTGCGTGATGGATGGATGTGAATTGGAACAATGAGGAGGAAACTAGGGCTAAAGGGCCCATATTGTACACCTTTCTGGGATTTAATTTGAGGTATTGGTACCCCTAAGATGATATATCAGTGGTTTAAAGTCGAAAAAACTGCTGAAATGTGTATTTCCATGTCCTCTCTTCTGCCTCTCTCTGGCACTGCAGGCACAACAGGCTGTTTTCGCCTGCCTCTTAAATTATTTAAGAGCCCCTCATCTGATTGGCTGACTGCACTCTGAGTGACAAGCAACTAGGCCTATCACTTGAAGCCTGTTGGAGCCATATGGTAGAGCAGTAGAGCTTACTGATTGGCTGACTGTACTCTAGGTGAAATGCGACCAGGCCTATCACCGGTCTCATTCTGGCGCATTGACAAACTCTCCGGTAATCAAGAATGGTGAAGGCCACAGCTGAGAGTCACGTTGTTATGTGTGGACACAGCTGTAGATGACCAACCACACATTCACAGTTGATTACAACAAGATGTTTTTGAATGGTAAGTTACACTGTCTCTTGTTTGCTCAAAATTTAGCAGGACAGTCAGCCAATGTAGGAGTAACTTCTAGGTTACAGTCCAAGTTACAGTACAGGTAGAGTCCCGAGTACGGGGTAACGTTACAGTATTGCTGCTGGTAGAAATTGTTTACTCAGTTTCTAAAAAATTTTGGTTTTAAAGATCAGTTCATGTAACAAAAGACTTGTTTAGAAAACACTGTATTTGATATGATACCAATTGCTTAATGAGGTTGAAAACATAAGGCAAATTTAATTGTGTATAATTGTTTGGTTATGTAATTTGCTTTTCCCTATTGTCGTCATCGCATACACATGCCAGTAAGTTTTCATTCCGTTATTTCACTAGTACTGTTGCTTTTTCCTCTACAGGTGTAGCTGTGGTGCCATGATGACAACAGAGAATGTGTTGCAGGGAGACACACAAGGTAGATTATCAAATAATCTTCACTGTAGATATGTTGGCTTCAATTTATGAAATTAAACATTTGAGGCACTCGTCTTCAGTAGAAAATGTCTTTATTACAGAAAATAAACCAAAACAGGGCACCTTGCAACAGTCTCACATTGTGGTGTTGTGTGAGACTATGATCTAAATGTAGATAATTAAAAGAATTAAAAAAATATATATTGTTAAAAGCATTAAGTAAAAATAAAGAGACATGTCTGTGACGTCCTGATTTTCAGTCAGTAAAGTGCAACAACCCCCCTCCCCTCCTGGTTTTTCAGGCGTACAAGACCTTCATCCGCTGCTGCTGGGTCCATCTTGGGAGAATGGTGAGGTCTGTAATTCCCTTATGTGAAGTCCTTCCCATACGCAAGGAGTTCCCTGATGATGACTTCAGGCTGCCCCTCAACTGAAATGCCTGACACAGCCTCTCGTACTGAGAGACAGAGATCTTCTGAACCTCATCATTGTATGGTGCAGGGTCTTTAAAGACTTGGTCAAACAGGACCTCCAGTTCTTGGATGTTACCTGTAAAACATTTGTACAGTGATGTTTGTAAAATATTTTATTTATGTAAATTGTATTTACTTTGTGATAAAAATACATTTTGTAATCAAAACATTTTGTGTATCTTGCCATATGTTGGCCCTGTTTTCACTGATTAGCTTTGCAGTACCCCGTCTTTGCCTTCCGATATTTTATTTTATAGATCGGCTTCCCTGATGAGCTGGTTGCTTTAGGGTGATTAGCATTTTCATTGAAGTGCATTGCAGGCAAGTACAACCTGAATAACAAAATCTGTGTAAATTACTGAACTGAGACTTTGAACACCAGTTCAACCAAACACAGGGCACATGCAGAGCAAGTCAACTCATGACAAACAGAAAAGGATCTTGCAAGATGACATTCTTTGTATGGGGTGCCGTTTGTAAAGCAGCTCACGCTGAAAATAACAGCAACATCTTGTCACATTTAGCTTCAAACCATGTTTAAAAAACAGGTGTGAATTTTTGAGAGTCACTTTTTTGCACATTTACAACAATATTTGTCAACTTAGAGATTTTTTAAATATTTAAATCCAAATGTTAA